CTAGGAAAAATAGCCTATAACATATTTCTCGAAACTCTTAGAAAATTTTAAGTTAACTTAAAATTTGGAAATCTAACCAGTAAATATGCCAATTTTTAGCACTATTTCTCAGCAGAATATATCTTTTTTATTTATTTTAGTTTAATCCAATCTGAGTTGAATGAAACGGCTCAATAAACTACTAAAGTTCAATTTCTCTGAGCAAAGAGTGGTGAGGAGACGGGGAAACAAAGCATTGTAAGGATTTGTGTGTTTAGAGTTAGAAGGGAACTTAGAAGACATATAATCCAACCTATTCATTTTACAAATGAGGAAACTGAAGCCCAGAAAGCCTAACTTACTAAAGTCACAAGTAATAACTGACAAATCTGGAACTAAAACCCAGGTCCTCTGATTAAAAATCTAGTGCTCTTTCTACCTCAAGAAGGGAAACAATTTCACTGTAGATTCTGGTTAACTCTCCGCTTGATACTTAGATTTAGGTGATTTCTTCAATATCTAAGAAATGCATGATAATTTTCAAAGAATTGAAGATAAACTCATCAGTATAACACATGCTTAAGAAAACCCTTTTAGGACAGAATCCAAAAATTAAGATAATCATGGTACAACCCTTGTGACCTCAGCAGAATCAAAAGTTCCTTTGTATCACTTTTCCATTAGTATCCCCAGCACTAATCACAGTAACTGGCATACATAACTGTGAATGAAAATACGATGAGCTCATCCAGAAAATGGAAGGAGACAGAATGGCTTAGAAACCAGAATCCAACAATATGTTGTTTATAAGAGACACTTGAAATAGAAAAACATACACAGAGTTAAAGGGCTGAAGCAGAATCTAATATACTTCAGCTGAAGTAAAAAAGACAGGAGTAGCAATCATGATCTCAGATAAAGCAAAAGCAAAAAGAGACCTAATTAAAAGACATAATCAGGGAAACTACATTTTGATAAAAGGTACCATACTAATATCAAAAAACTTTACAAGTTTCTCTGATTAAGTCTTCATTTTGGAGCAGCTAGGAGGTGCAGTGGATAGAGCACTGGCCCGGAAGTCAGGAGGACCTGAGTTGGCACTTATGTGTGTGTGACCCTGGGCAAGTCACTTAACCCCAATTGCCTTAAAAAAAAGTCTTCATTTCTCAAATATATACTGAGTATAAAACTGAGTCAACTTTATAAAAATAAAAGCTATTCCCCAATTGACAAATGGTCAAGGGATATAAACAGGCAATTGTCAGAAGATATCAAAATTATCCATAGTAATAAGAAAAAATACTCTAAATCACTATTGATTAGAGAAATGCAAATTGAAGCAACTATCATATACCTATCAGAAATGACAAATGCTGGAGGGGATGAGGGAAAAACGGGTACACTAATGAACACCTAGTGGAGTAAACAGGTCCAGACATTCTGGAGAACAATTTGGAACTGTGCCCAAGAGGCTGTGCATACCCTTTGACCCAGCAATGCCACTACTAGGTCTCTGTCCTAAAGAAATCAAAGAAGAAGGAAAAGGACCTATATATACAATAATATTTATAGTAGCTCTTTTTTGTGGTAGCAAAGAATGAGAAATCAAGGGGATGCTCATCAGATGGGGAATGGCTAAACAAGTTGTGGCATATGATTGTGATGGAATAATACTATAATATAAGAATGACAAAAGTGGTGGTTTCAGAAAAACATGGCAAGACCTATCTGAACTGATGCAAAGTGAAATAAGAAGAACCAGGAAATCATTATGCATAGTAACAGCAATGTTGTAATGATGATCAACTGTGAAAGACTTGGCTACTCAGATCAATACAATAATCCAAAACAATTTCAAAGGACTCATGATGATAAAAAGTATTGGTTTGGTATCAGGAAAAACTTCTTAACTATTAAAGCTAACCAAGAATGGGCTGTTTCAAAAGTTAGAGGATTCCCCCTCACTGTAGTTCTTCAAACAGAACATGGATGACCAATCAATTAACACGCATTTATTAAGTACTCACTATGTGTTAGGTGCCGGGAATACAAATATAATACCACTTGCTAGACAATAATAATGATGATAACGATAATAATAACTACCATTTCTACAGCTCTTTAAGGTTTGAAAAGCACTGGACTTATATCATCTCAAGTAGGTGGCACAGGAAATACAGTGCAGTCAGGAAGACTCACCTTCCTGAGTTCAAATATAATCTCAGACATTTACCAGCTGTATGAACCTGGGCAAGTCACTTAACTCTATTGGCCTCAGTTCCTCAACTGTAAAATGAGCTGGCAAACCACTCTTTGCCAAGAAAACCTCAAATGGGTCACAAAGAGTCAGACATGACTGAAAAACAACTGAACAGCAACAACAACAAATACGATAACAGGGATTCTTTTTGAAGGGTATGCACTGAATATATGACTGAAGAGATCCTTTCCAATTCTGAAATTCATAATGGTGATAATGAGGTGATATCTATATACCAATGTATGATACATTCGATTAGCTTGCAAGTTTTTCAGAAAAGTAAGTCCTTTATACGGGAACATTATCCTGTGTTCTATACTCAACTACTCAAGAAAAATGGCAAAATGATTTTTCAGTGAAATTCCAAATAGATAATGGAATAAAAGATGCTAAGGGAAAAAGAATTACTATACTCAAGTCTAAATACAGTATTACTAAAATTACTAATGCACAGATGCTCAGTACAACTTCTGTAAAACAAAAGGGTGGAAATAGTTTTTAAAATTAAGACATGGATTTAATATCAGATTTAATTCATCTCTCTATATCTTACAGAGGCAACAGCATTTCACAAGTACCCAGTCTATGAAGAGCAATATGCTAGACCTAATTTGTACTTATGAATAATATGTGGAAATTCAAATTGCTTCCAAGGTCAGGTAACAAAAGTATGTTTATTACACATAGGTTCTTCATAGTCGCATCTAGGACTGTCATCCTACTTTAGAGACCAAACTTCAATAAAGAATTAATTGGAGATCACTGTTAATTAAAGCCTTGATCCCAAGGAAATGTCATCATTCAATTCATTATATGAATTAAAAAAGATATGGCTAACTGAAATTCAAGAAAATTGAAATTCAAGAAAGCAAAAAAGGAAGGAGAGGAAAAAGCATGTTCAAATAACTTAATAATTGATAAAAAAATAAAGATCACTTTTTACTAAAGACCATTTGTGTTCAAGATAAATTCAACATAAAACTATCATAATAGGCACACAGTACTGTAACCCAACAGTTGGCCACATTTTTAAGAACTTAAATTGGCAGCAATTTGCCCAAACATACATGAGACACCATTTTTCAAAGTGCATACAATGAACACACAAATTTGGGATTAAATGCAAAAAAGAAAAGTTTTATAATTAAATAATTTAGAACTTCACTATCATACTTTTTTATGTTATCTGTATCAAACCAGACAAGGCAGAAAGGTAGCTTTTGGCACAATGAAGTTATTAAAAAATAATTTTTTCTTCCTTTACAACAGGTAAATGTAAGCAGGTGGTACCCTGTAATGCACTGTAAAAATGCAAAGCATTCTTGTTATTAATATAACGATTCTTATTATTTCTAGTATAGGATTAAACACCTCTCAGGTTACCATCTGCTCTGTATACTTCTTAATATGTACCTAGTTATTTACAAGTAGTCTCCATCACTAGAATGTAAGCTCAAGAGATAGTTTTTGCCTTTCTTTTTGCTCTCCCATGCTGAGCACAACAAAAGCTTGCTAAATGATTGAACATACATTTAAACTTAACATATTAATATATGTAGCTTTACCACATATGACCCTAACATACATTTAACTTAGTTGAATAATCTCATACAAGACCTAAATTTTTAGTTTTTTATATATATGCCAATATTTAGTAAGGTATCATAGCATTATACATACTTATGTACACATTGTCTCCTCTATTAGAATATAAGTTCTTTTAGCCTTTCTTTCTATTGCCCCAGTGCTTAGCAGAATCCAAGGCCCACAGTAAGTACGTGATTAAATGCTTGCAGTCTCACTGGAAGCTTCCTTTTGTTTTTCCTTGCAACTCTATTCACTTTCTAAATTTAATCAATAGGATCCCTCTTAATTACTCTCTTCTACCTATTTCCTCTCATCAATCAAATAACATTTATTAAGCTACTACATGCCAGGTCCAGTCCTAAGCACAGAAGATACAAAAAGAGGCAAAACACAAGTCGCTGCCTTCAAGGAGCTTACAGTCTAATGGAGGTAACAATATACAAACAAATATATACAAAGAGAGCTAGGAAACAACTAAAAGGGAAGGGACTGGAATTGAGAGGGGTTAGAGAAGGCTTCCTGTAGAAGGTGGGATTTTAGTTGGGACTTAAGGAAGCCAAGGAGATCAGTAGTTGGAATGGATTCCAAGCATGGAGGACAGCCAGTGTCACTGGATTAAAGAGTACATCTCAGGGAGTAAGTTTGTAAGAAAATAGGATAGGTAGCAGGGGGCTACGTTATGAAAGGTTTTGAATGCCAAACAGATGACTGTATATTTGATCCTGAAGGCAAAAAAAGCTACTAGAGTTTGAGAGAGAGAGAGAGAGAGTGAGTGTGTGTGTTTGTGTTGGTGTGGGGTGGAGAGGGGCAGCAGGTGGAGGGGAATAGGACTACATGTTCTTGAAGATTATATTCATTATAACTCATGAAAATCCAGAAACATTTAAGTTTCCCAACTACTTATAACAGCCTTAAAATAAAAGCAAGTATAATGTGAAAGCTATACAAAGTATATATACATAAGTACTAATAATATGTAACACCAACAAACTACTTTCAACATCATTTTACTATACATAATGAAAAGATCTGTACACACATCTATATGAAATGTCTTAATAAAATTTCATTCTTCTCTGACCAAAATAGAGCTCTTAAGAATAACTTAATTTTTTAAAAAGCAAAATTTTCACTATCATACAATGAGTTTTTAAGTTTCACTATTTTACTGTACCTGTGCTCCATAGATATATTTATCCAACATCTTGCCGCCTATAGTTTGCCCTCCTATATCCCAAACTTGTAGAGTAACATTAAGGTTTCCTGAAACAAAAATAAATATAAAATTGAGCAAAAATTAAATGACAAGTAGCATTTGGATTGATCAAAATCCAAAAGAATAATAAATAACTTCAGTAAATACTAAGTCCAATTTTCCTCTTAGTCTAGAGACTCATAAGATCAGATATTTGAAGTGCTGTGGTAAATCTGTCATGGTAGGTTTGCCTCAATACAATAAAGCCGAATCCTCTCAAAATAATGGGAGGGAAGATCGAGGAAATTTTAATTCTTTAAGAAATTCTTTACATCACACCAAACTTCATGCCTATTGAAAAATGTAATATTATAAATGGGACAAAATCAGATTTATAGATATATATACACACACACACATATACACACATATATATACATACACACACACACATATGTACAAAATTCAGAAAAAAGAACAACCAAAAAAAGTAAAAGCCCAAGAAAGAAAAACAGAACAATACAATAAGGTATGTTTTCTATGATATGAAAAAAACACTTCAAAAAGAAAATAAAAATGGAAACTTTGTAGTTAATTCCTTAATCTTTAGTAACATCGAGCAAACCAGTAATATACCTCAACTCTACTAAACAAACTGTCAAAAAGTCGTAGGTTCTAAAAGAATACACAAAATAACCATATTCTGTTGTCTGAATTCTGTAGTTATTGAATATTAATACATTACAAAAAATATAAAGTACAAGTTTCTAGAGTAGTACTAAAATGTATGATTTTTTTTGCTAATGTGAATATCATAAGGTTTTAAGTAAATGACATGACAATCAGAAGTTCACATTTTCAGAGGATATTTAATCAATAAAACAACAAGCTTGACAATAATATTCAAAAATGAAGATCCATGCTATAACAAAAATCCATTACATGTTTCTTCTTTTCATCATCAAACCACATATTCAGAAACATAACTAGAATGCAGCCTCTAAGAGGCCTATATTATACTATTAATAGTCAGATATCTGCTCTATACACATGGTCCACTATATTGAGGCCAACCATAAAAACACTTTGGTATTCTGAAAAGCAATACTTAAATGCAATAGGAATTGATAGGATATTTGAGTATAAAAAGCTGCAAACAACACATTTACAGCATCACAATTCTTCTCTAACATGTATTTGGGAATTGCTTATTCCCTAAATTATATCATTTAATAAAACTAAGCAAAGCATCTACAAAAAAACAAGTATATTCCAAATCATAAATTCAAAATGAGCCCCAACAACAAATAAACCTTTTAGATTCTTATGAAAATCAGGAAAACCAGGAGTAAAAATGCACTGAATATATAACTTACACTTTTTTTAAATGGATATCACAAAGTTCCACGATATATCAATCTATGATAAATAAAATTTATGCATGTAAAACAACTTAGAGAATATAAAATTATGACATTCACATTTACAAGAGAAATTTCAGACAACTCACACTAATGCAGAAATAAGAAAAATCATAATATTTGAGTCCCAAGCAAAGTTTTAGCCTTAACTATGAGTGCTGTGGGTTTATATTATAATCTTTCCATTATTTAGACATAGTCAAGTCTGTTCTCTGCCCATGTACAGAGGATTTACTTGAGGAACTTCCATTAGCATTAATAAGAGCTACTGAAGTTTATCACCCTTCATCACTCCCACATACAGGCACATTCAACACACATTCAAACACATAGAGCAGTAACCAAATACTATTAAGATTCTACCGTTGAATCTATGACTAAGAAAATATAAATTAAGATTGAAGTCTGTCTAAACCACAGAATAAAATTTTGTGATTACCCCATCTATAAAATGATCCTTTAAAAAAATTCAAAAATCTTTTCATTTCTTGAAGCTGAAACAACTTTTTTTCAACATAGATGATGTAAATAAAGTGATCGAACAGCATTAACCATCTCCAGCGTTAAACTCAATTATTTTCAGAAGCCCGCTACATAAATGGGCAATGCTCTCAGTTATTTGCTAAATAGTTGAGAATAATTTGCGTAATCTTACACGAGGAAATGGTATTTTATTAACAAATAATTTAAAGGTGTTTTTACATAAAGCTTTAATAAATATTCACTGAAATATTTCTGGAAGAAATCCCTATTCCTTTATTCCCACACCCAGAAATATTGGGTTATATTCTTTAATTACCATAACTGGAATTATATACATATAATATTTTGAACAAATTAAGCAGTAACTTTAGGATTAGCATCGTCATGTATATATTTCCACTACCTAATTAAAAATCATACCAATATCATATACTATTGATGAAAAATTCAAAGCTTTCCAAATAAAGTTTTTATAAACATTTAAGTGGCATCTCACATTAATTCAATATGAATAGCTATTGATAAGCAGACTGATAACTGATATCCTATAATTATAAAAGATAAACATTCAATTTCACAGATCATTCAATATTCTTAAATCATTTGCTAATTTTGAAAAAGAACTAAAAATGTATGTTTAATGAAATGGGGAGAAATTACTGTGAGGTAAAAATAAAATTTAAAAGATGAAGTTCACGTGAATATTAATTTTCATTCTTGAGGTAACATACATACAAAGTTTTCTATTAACTGATCATTTTCTAAACTATAAAACTAAAAATTAATATTAAGATAATTCAGTAATGCTGAGTAAAACCTCAGTGGTTTGGTTCTTGAATTCCTAATCACTTCATCTAAAACTGCCTATCAATAAAGAATTTTAGTTAAATTGCCAACAATTAGATTTAAGGAGAAAATAATTTTTTTCATCCTTTTTTGTAAAAAATTACTTGTACTGGGTTGGAGGGAGGAGAAAACAAGTAACAAAAGACAGGTAGGTTTCTTTCCCTTTAAATTAAAGCCACCGAAAGGATAAAACAATGATCTTGTCACAAGTGCCTTGGTTAATCTTACTTAAAGTGCTGCAAAATCAAGATGGAACTGAAAACACATGTCTGCCCACTTCTTGTACTGAAGACTTAAAAATCCTTTTCACAGTAGAATCCTGTTTACTGGACTGTACCCACAACCTTCCTGAAAGTATTTTGACTATGGCTCTTAAGCAGTTCTATCAGCTGAACCTCTGACTAACAGATACACTATTTTAAGCAGTCAGATCTGCACAGTGGCTGCATCCAGACTATACAGCACATTGGTTCATGAAATAAACTGAAATAGATCAGTATTTGGAAAGTAGCTGACTTGAAAAAGTTACATGAAGAGGAACTGTAATTGCTGGACAGTGGAGAGTCAAAAGCTTTATCAGAATTCTAACAGTATTTGTTCTAATTATACTTAGTTATATTATAATTTTCATTATATCCCATGTAATATTTTTAGCAAAATAATAAAAACATTCATCCAATATTTTACTTTGATGCTGATAAGGTAAATAAAATTATAAATGAACTATAAAAATACATTATGAAATTCAACTGCACAGATTAAAATAGAAAACTATTTTTTCCTGCTGAAATTTGTACCCATTAAGTAGCACGAAACTGACTGGCTTTGAAAAAAACAACACAAGATTTTTTTCGCCTTTGGAACTTAGCCCATCAAAACAAAATCTTAATCAGGAAAATTAAAATATATATTCACTAAGAGTACACATTTCCTAAAGTTGGCTCTAAAGTTAAGCACTTTCTGATACTACACTAAGACACAAAATGCATGCTACTTTACAAATGTGTAAATAGTCAAAGGTTATTTCATAGAGTAGTCAAAGGAAAACAAAAAAATGCTTCTAGCTAATACTAGTTTGCTGCAGAATAGATATGACATTTTCATTTACATATGTATACACATGTAAATATACAGAAAAATAGAAAAACCAGCAAAAACTATAAAAGTCTTTTGTTAGAGGTAGCTGATAACTGTTCTTTTGAGCTCTTAAGGTTTAAAAAAAAGTTTAAGGAATTAATAATAAAACAACAAAGAAGGACAGAGTCTTTAAGAAACTCTCCAATCTAACAGGAATGGTTAATAGCTAAATACTGCACATATAGAAGCTCTTAATACGACAGCTGGCATGGGGGGGGAATCCTTTGTAAAAATACCATTTCACAGCAGGCATACTGTGTGATTTGTGTATGCATTCCACCAGTGACTGCTGTAAAGTATTATACATATTGTACTTATGGTCCATGAAAGTGCAAGCAATAAAAACAAAATTATATTGTCATTTTCAGATTTTTTTAAAATATAAACAAAATATTCAAACAATTTTTATTAACCTCTCACAGAATAATAATGGAATAAGAGCAAAGCTGAAAGAACAGAGTTCTCTTTTTCATGTTGTACCCCTATGACAGTCTATTTTTCCTGGGGAAAATGCTGATAAATCTTCTTGGAAGTATAATAGTAACAAAATGTATAGAATACTACCAATTGACCAGTACTTTGTCATCAAATGCATTTAAGCTTATAAACAGAGAAAAACTTAACATATTTCACTCAAGTTATCCTGATTTTCAATGTCATTAATACATCAACTCTATCACCTGTACAGCAAATATGCTGTTAAATTTGCAAGTTTTACTTCAATCTTCCCATAGCATTAATATATGGAAGGAGGATGCAGTTCATCATGCTCACCAAAATAAAATGTTTTAATGGAATACTTTCAAATGCACAACTGAACCATCATAACTAAACAAATAGTCTATTTTAAATCTCCAATTGTTCAGAAACAAACTTAAAGTAGAAACCACTCTGTTATTATTTCTTTGCATTTTCCACACGGTGTGCTTAACTGGCATCTAAATAGTTTCTTTGCATCGTGAACTGAAACATCTTGAATGCTCAAACTGTATTTTTATGAGTGCCTAGGGACCCTAAATTTTAGTGGTCTATTAAATGCCAGCAATTTCATGCTGCCTTGCATAAAACAGCATTCACATATTAGAGCACAGTGGTTCCATAGCTACATTATACTTCCCCTTCAGCATCCCCCAACCAAAAATACAAGTACACACTACCTAAAATAAAAAAAATATTTTTAAAGAAATCATCTTTCCCAATGTTTTCACATGCAAACTTGTATTCCTAAACTATTTAAGTATTTATTAAAAATAATAGAGTTAGATAACCTTCTGAAAATGCCTTATAACAAACTCTCATCCCTTAACATGTACAAAATGATCACTATGTTATAAAAACAGAAAAGAAAACTAGCTCATAAACATCATGCCCCAGGTGCTTGTCTTCCAACTAAGAAAGACTGATGAAAGCATGCCTCCCAAGTTAAGCAGTCTAGTTAATTTAAATTTTTGTGTAGAAGCAACGCAACCATTATACACATTTCTGATTTATATCCCTCCCTGCAAATGCTACTGTCCCTATCACTCTCAATATTGAAACTATATATTCCCTTACCTGGCAATGTTATCCTTTTCAAAAAGAAGTCCAGTCCTACAGTTTGTTTGTACTGTTTCCCAAAAGCTTCCTGAGCAAACCGCGTAGCTAAGGAGGTCTATGAAAAAATAAAATGTAAATGCACAAAATCAAAATTAGTTTATATGTTCTTCAAACCCTAAACATAGGCCCAGTACAAAATCTTACTAAACAATCTTGGCAATTATGCCTCTATTACGCCAAGGAGCAATTTTTAAGTTATCTCCAATCATTGACAAGTGAGGGCAAGTTTAAATGCTTACCTGGCAAATTTTACTTGCCAGCATTAGTGGGAACAACACTATTGAGCCTCTTAAATCTCTAAAAGTCCCTTGATAATAACCAATTTCTCTTTGCAGGAAAATAGGATTCTAGACATTTAATTAAGGGAGGAAACAAAAATTAAGATTAGAGATATAAATCTCATTTAACCTAAGTACCAGCTAAAAAAAGCAACTGTCATGAAAAATTCTCAATATCATTTCTAAAGGCATCAAGAATTTAACTGTCATCCCTGGCTATGAGTAAGGTAACATAGTAAGTGATGAGCAGGAAAATCTTTATATGGAAATTCTCTTAAAATCTAAATTTTTTTTCTTTATTTTTAAAGGAAAAATATTTTATTTGATCTATATGATGAAGACATGAACAAAATTTTAAATCACTTGAACAATATATTTTAAAACTGCTGGCTCTATAAAAATAGGCTGAATTTTTTTAAAATCTTTTAAAAATCTGTTAAACTCAGAAAATGTATTTACTCTTAGTTTAAAATAAAACATCTGACAACAAATACTTTTTTACCTGATTCCCACTCCAATGATTATAACATTCCTAGGCTGTTAATTAAGAAGAAGAGCTAACATTTATATAGCGCTTACTATGTGCCGGGCACTGTACTAAACAGTTTATAAGAAATGTGTGACAAGAAAAATACATACAACTATACTTATTCAGGTAAAATCATAATGTGCTGGCTCAAAGAATGTGGAGTTCTCTACCAGCAGATAATATTTCTAAAATAAATCCAGGAATAATTAATCAACCTCCTAATGTCAGTTAGAACAACTCAAACTTTTTAAAAATTTATCATGTAAACGAAGAGGGATGGGGGGGTGGACAAAAGTAATATTTCACTAGGTCCCTTTTCCATACAAGGCCATTTCCCCAGAGTTGTGGAAAAACAGTCAGCTCTTAGATTAGAGAAAATTAAAACATCTAAGATAGAACTTATTATAGATAATTACAACATAAGTACAAAACTAGTAAAGAAAACTTAGCCAAAGTTCAGTACTGGAAGTTACATTTAAACAAAAGCACCTTAAATTCCATTTGACAGATTACAATATTTTGAGCATAAAAGATTATTCTCAAACTTAAAACTGCTAGTTTTGTAAATATTTAAACAATCAGTAATTATTTTTAAATGAACCACTGTCATCAACATCAAAAAGGATTCACTACAAAATATTTTTGCTTACTTGAATCATAAAACTACAATATCAAAATTGAAGAGTTAATGTGGATAAAAGAATTAAGCTAAATATCCCTTACACACACATCTCGTTTTCATCTATCCTTTAACTATATCATTAAACTGACAGCAAAAAAAAGCAGTAAAACAACTCAGTGAAAAATAACTCAATCATTACTTCTTGCATATGTATAGACATATATAACACCTATTACATATACATGTGCATATATATAATTTCACAAAGCCTAGTACATAAAGCACCTTTTAAAAATCAAAGAAAAACTCAACAACATTGATTCTGCATCAGAAGAATTTCATTTACAGTATGTAATTTTCATCCAAAGTCCTCAAAATTCACTATAGCTATTTATTAAGACTCATAGCACCCCTGTCAGGTCAAAAAATACAAAATATTGAAAAATGCACAATTAAGGCCTTTTCTCCCTATAAAAAGTCACACCAATTGACTAGTACTCTCTAAAGCCTACCTTCACATATTTGCAGTTAACAGGAGCCAATATTTAGACTGAGACTGATCATAAACTGACAAAATGATAAGCTTTTGGAATCACATGGAATATTAATATAGATACTTGACATCTCATTTCCTGCTATCTTGCTTTAGAACACAAGTCAGTTGTGTCAGTGGGAGGCAATTTCCCAATAAAAGATCTCTAACAGTATGTCTATCCCTTACAACTTCATGCCACTATGAATGGTGATTCACAGCCCATAACTTCCTAATAGGAGACATGGTATAAATACCTTTCTCAAACAATTTGAACTAATAACTGAAACATTTTAACTTGATGCTTTACATTTTTAGACGTGGGGCAAATCTAAGACACTATACTTAATTTATCTAGGGGGCACCTATATACAATGAGGCAATTTAATTTTAAGAAATGTTAAAATATAAGTTTAAACTCAAAGCAGGATGGTACATAATTATCACTATTCTACTTCTAAATTCAAGTCTTTAAGTTACATTTCCAATAGTGTTAGCTCCACCTCCTAAATATATTTCTAAGTTTCTCTTGAATTTTAAGTAATAGCTGCACACTAGCTCTTCTACCAGTACAAAGACCGCTGCATTATTACAAAAACGCTGTAGCTAATATAAGCAGAAAAAGTAAGGTGTTCAGAAAAGAAGGGTTAAGAATGATGAGACAAACAGGAAGGAGACTAGGCTGATAAATAATCACCTTTTTTTTTCCTAATTATTTGTATCCTGTTTCCAAAAAGGATCTAAGGTAAGAAAAGCCAACGGAAGAAATACAATATGGCCTAACTGGGTTATACAAATTACATGAGGACTGGATTGGACATGAAGAAAAAAACATTTGGTGAAATATGACACAAATTCTAGTCAAATATTTAAGTACCTACTATGTTCAGGGCAATATGCTGGGCACTGTGACTGCAAAGATGAAATAAAAAGAGTTCTTACCTAAAGAAGTTTAAGATATAACCAAAAAGTCAAGGATAAGAGACCAATTCAGGGAGTTATATTAGGAATTTACAAGAAAAAAAAAAGAGTATGTCACTCCACTTCTCAGGCTTAGTTTCCTTATTTGTAAAATGAGAGTTGAACCTGATGATCTATTCAGAGGGATCTGAGGTTCTACAATTCTCTTATATAAGAATTCTAAGTCTGAGAAGTAGAAATAAATATTACCACTTTTCGAAGCAGATACTCCTCCTAGAAACCAGAACTTCAAATACTATTAGGAAATTAAAATAATTGCTAACTGAAGGAGAAAATCATAAATGATGATGAAATGACAAGGCCGTGCAATAGATAAGATTTAATTGAGGTCAATAAGGGAATAATTCCATTTATAGTGGTGTAAATGTGTACCTAACAACAGAAGAAATGGCCTTCCAAGTCATCTTCCCAACAACTTTCTCATAAGCAGGGCGTATTAATCTCCATACCTCAGTTGTAAAAACCAACGACCTAGGGGGTGGGTAAAGTAATCCAGGAATTAAGAGCGTTTATAAGGTTTTGTAGGAATGGGGGAGGGGGGGTAAAAAATGAAACCTCAGGACACCTGGATAACAAGATTTCCTCAAAGGAGCAATCAATATTCAAACCCCAAAATTAACACCAAAATACTTTTATTTTTTATTCTTAGAAGGAAGTAATAATTATCATTAAGAGAGAGATGGGAAGGGATGGTAAATAGCGGGGATAACATGTCATGAAACATTTGCAAAAAGGATTTAGGCGCATTAAGGATTTATCATGCTTGGGAACATTATAAAGGGCCAACACTCTAGTCTAAAAGGAAGCACTGTGGAGTCTGGGAAAAAGCAGTAAGGCTGGAGTCAGCTGGAATCCCAGTGCTCCTAACTACCCCAGTGACCTCTCGGGGCCTCGGTTTCCACAACTGTAAAACGAGTCTGCTGCTTTACATTATTTCTAAGGTCTCTTCCAGCTGTGAACCCTAGGTATTACAGCTGGTGTTGACTTGCCAGTCCACAGGCATAAGGAGGAAAGAGATGTTATTAGCAGAATGAAAACATGGGGGCGGGGGGGAGGAAGGAGATGGGAACAGGGATAAGGGAAAATGAGAGAGATTAGGGTGGGGAGGAGAAAGATAAGGATGGGGGGATGGGGATGAGGATGGAGAGGAGGGAGATAGGGAGGTGAGGACAGAGAAGATAATGACTAAGGGATGAGGGAGATGGGAAAAGAAACGAGAATGGGGAAGAGGGAGAGGGGAATGCAGAGGAGGGAGATGAGAAGGAGGGGGGTGAGAATGGGGAAGAGGAAGACAAGGATGGGGAGGAGGAAAGGCGGGAGATAAGGAATGAGAGAAATAGGCGGGCGGGGGGAGGATAGAAGGGGCCCAAAACACTGGGGAGAGCGGAGGTACCAAAGGGTCTGGGAGGCGGGGGCAGCGGGCGCGTAGTGGTGCGAACGTCGTGCAATCATTCCATAATCACGAGGCTGGAGAAGTATTTTTTTTAAAAAGGGGGAGAGGAGGACCCCTCGAGGGTCCTCGCAGTGTCAGGTGACCACCAGCCCCGAGCTTCGGCGCCGGACAGTCCCTGGAGCCCATCCAGCCCAAGGCGCCGCCGTAGTGCAGGCGAGCCCGCGACTCCAGGGGCTTCTCAGCCCGAGGCTGCCCGCGGCCAGAGGCGAGATTCGAACCCTCCCCCCAACCCCCACCCGGGCTCCCGAGGGCTGCTGAGGGGAGGAGGGAGGCCCAGCGTCGGCCTAGGGGGAGGGGGAGCCCCGACGCGGAGCGAGGGAGGGAAGGTCTGGCGGGCCGGGCCGGGCCGGGCCGGGCCGGGCCGGGCGGACTGACCTTTCCAGAGGTGCCGTCGCCCAGCAAGACGATTTTGAGCTGCCGGTCCTGACATTCTTCCTCTGAGTCGGACATGCTGACCCGGGGAACGGGCCTGCCCCCGGCTGGGGAGCGAGCTGGGGGGCTGCAGAGGGCCGGGGGGCGCTGGGGCGGAGGGCCCCCCCCCGGGGCTCAGCAACTAGTGGCGGGATCCGGGGCGAATCACTCGCCGGGCGCCATGTTGAGCCCCCCCCCTCATGCCCCGACACCCGCCCCCTCTCCCCCTCCCCCAGCGGCTCGAGCCGCTGTCACTGGGAGGGGAAGAACCATTCGCTGGCCTGGGAGGAGGGGGAGAAGCGAGAGCCTGGGAGCAGACGGTAGCAATGCTGGAGGACAGGGAAAGTGAAGAAGAGTGGTTCTGTCCTGCTTAGACTCAATCCGGGTAAGAAGAGGCCTGAGGTGGAAGGGAAGGAGAAGCAGTAGCGTTTGGCTGGGAAGTTTTCCGTGGTCCCCCTCCTAACTCTGAAGCGTCTCAAACCCTAATGGTTTCGTCGGTTGGCGGTGACGACGAGGACGCCGAGGCCGCGCGCTAGTAACTAAGGAACCTGGAGGTGAAAGGGCAACGAAGGGGAGGAGCGTGTCCTAGCCCTACTGCCTAGCCGCGGGGCGGGGCGGGGCGGGGCGGTTGCTAGGTAACGAACTGGCGTTGGAAGAACATCTTTAAAGAAGGAGAAAGAGATGGCGGGAACGAAAAGGAAAGCGATTTCACCTTACGTGAGGAGAGAGGACCCTTGCGGGAATTTCGTGGGACGTCGGAAAAATCCCCCCCTACGGAGTCAGAGGACCTACTTTCAAATTCTGCCCCTGATGCTTACTTGCCTCTGTAACTGTGAATGAACCTCCCTGATCCCCAGTTTCCTCATCTGTAAGATGGGGGGTGGGGCCGGCGAAGGGGGAGGGAATTTGATTGCCCTCTCAACTCCAAAACTAGTGTCCCCATCTGTAAAATGGGTACAATAATGCCTGAAATATCTACTTCTTAGGATGGTGACTTTAATTGTTGGTAAAGTATGGAAGGAGAAATTAGTCTGTCCTCCAATAAGGACGATCTAGGTTCAAAGCCTGACACCTACAAGGAGTTTGAGAGTTTAACTTTTCCCTGCTCCAGGCAACTGGAGCAAAGTAGGGAGCAAATACTGATCTTCACTGGTAGTGGGAGTTTCCTCAGGGAGTTCCTGTATCAGTGAAATCACAGATCTGATTAAAAAATATATATTATCATTTAGTTTAATTGTTTCTCAACCTTTTTAAAGACCCCATTACTTTTTTTTAAGATCAAAAACTGCCCCCTACCCCCAACATAATAGTAACTTCAAATTTTGTTACAGCAAAACAAAGATCAGTCGTTTGAGAAAATACATGATGATCAAAAACTGCTACTTAATGCTTTTTTAAAATTTTGTTAATCACAGCAACTTCTAGACACAATTGTAGATGAGTAATATGCATGCTAAGAAGTCATTTATTCATTTTGCAGAAAATGTTTACATATATTTAAGCATTTCATGAAGTGTCAGGTACTGCTTCCCCACTTTCAGAGATTTAAAGTTTCCTTGAAGGGAGAAAAGTTTTGGCCTTAGATTTGTTTCATGCGTGGTTCTGGATTTAGATTTCCAAGCAACAAGTGCAGAGACTCTTCCAAAAACATGCTTGTGAAAAGTTTTAAGGTACTTAACAGCTTTTTCCTATTAGACACAAATGAAACTAGTATAACATAATAATAATTGTACATGTATAGCCTCTATCAGCTTTGCTTACTGTCTGGGGGGGGAGGGAAGGGAGGGAGAAAAAAATTTGGAACTCAAAATTTCATAAAAGTGAATGTTGAAAATTAAAAAGAAAGAAACTAGGATAACATAAAACCATAGATAACCTAAAACAATGGATATTATGAATACAGCATATTTTACTGAAGCCAAATAAAGAGCAATACCATGATGTTTGGTGGACACACGGATTTGTAAACTATCACAGCCATACTGGTTAGAAATCCCTGAAAGTCCAACCCTCCTAGGAAATGACTTGGCTGAATTTGCAAAGGTTACTACCTATGTAGTAACAGAGCCAGAATTAAAACTCAAACTTCAAGAATCTAAATCCAGTACTCTTTCTATTAATGTAGGCAGGAATGGGCTGGTAAGTCAGGTAATACCTCTCAGTCTGACAGATGAGGAAAGTAAGTTGTGAGGCTATTATTACGATATGTCTCAGAGGTGATGACTTTGGGCAAATCACTTCTGCTTTCCCGGAGTCAGTTTCCTGCACTGTGAAATGAGGATAGCTTTTGCAATATCTTCCTCACAGGATTTTGTGAAGAAAGCACTTTGTAAACCTTAAAGAACACAGATATTTTGTTATTGTTATTGTTTATTGTTAATCTGCAAAATGAGGATTGAACAATCATGCCCTCACACTAAATTCTCAAACTTTTTGGTCTTGGGACCCCTTTACACTCTGCAAAGTTACTGAGGATCTTTCCCCAAAGAGCTTTTGCTTATGTGGGCTATATTTGTGGATGTTTGCCATATTAAAAATAAAACATTATTATAAAAAGACCCCTTAAAAGGGGCCTCCAAGCATCCCTGGACCATAATTTGAGGACCGCTGGACTAGATTAAGGGCTTGACCAGTCACCTCAGCCTTTGCATGGTACCTTCAATCAGTTAAACAACAAACATTAAGCACCTACCATGTGCTAGACACGGGTGATACAAAGACAAGCATAGAACTTGCTCCCTTCCGTGGAAACAACATGTACACATTTGAGTAAATACAAAGTAAACAACAAAGTAAATACAATATACTCCCACCTGTGAGCATCTGGAATGACCTCATGTGGGAGGCAGGGCTTGAGCCGAGCTCTGGAGCAAGTTACCAGAGATTCTCAAGAGAGCATTGAATAGGGTGTGCACTACAGAAAGGGGGGAATAATCTATGCAAGACATAATGTAAGGATGGAATGTCAAGTGTGGGGAAAGAGTTGGTCGGCCAGTTTGGCTAGACCAAAGACTACATGACGGGAACGAGACTGGAACCAGATTCGAAAGAGCTCTAAATGCTGAGTAGGGCAGCAAGGTGGCACAGTGCATAGAGTATAGGGCCTAGAGTCAGGAAGACTCATCTCCCTGAGTTTGAATCTAGCCTCATACGTTTACTAGCTTTGTAACCCTGGGCAAGTCACACAATCCTGGTGGCCTCTGTTTCACCTGTGAAATGAGCTGGAGAAGGAAATGGCAAACCTCTCCAGTATCTTTGTGAAGAAAACCTCAATTGGGGTCACGAAGAGTCAGACATGACTGAAAATGACTGAACAATGAACAAAATGCTTGGTAGTGCTCTGATATGCCCTTCGTGCCATATTTTAGGTTATAAATTTTCATTGTTGATGCCATTCCCCAACTAGACTGTAGGTTCCAGGAAATTATTTGTTTTATCTAAATTGTATGTCTTCCACAGCACCTGATACAGTCCTAAGCACACAGTAAGCACTTAATGTTTGTTGAATTATTTAATCCCATATCTCTATTCCCTTCCACTTTACTAATTACCTAATTGCTCCTCAAGGATGAACTATCATAGGTCTGTCAGGTAAAGCTGTGAAAAATATGACTTACTCCAAATCCCAAAGGAACCCCAGAGAGCTTCATTGAGGTGTGATAAGTTATGGAGTATATCCATAGGAAGCCAACCACATGGTGAGGACACTAACACAATCTTGGGCTGTGTTAAGGACTTTGCTACCAGAAACAGGGGAGATGATAGTCACACTGGAATGCTGTGTTTAATTCTGGGCACCAATATTTAAGAAGGACATTGATAAACGGGACACTCTTCAGCTCGCAGAAGGAACTGGGCACATTTAGCCTGAAGAAGAGAGGACTCAGTAGAGGACATGGTAGCTGTTTTCAGGTATTTGAAGGATCTTTCACATGGAAGAGAGATTAGACTTACTCCCTTTGGTCCCAGAAAGCAGACTTGGAAGCCAAGGATTAAAGTTGCAAAGAATCATATTTAGGTTTGATGTCAAGAAAAATTTCCTAACAGTGAGAGCTGTCTAAAAGTGAAATGGGCTGCCTTAAGAGGTGGTGTTTTCCTTCAGAGGTCTTCAAGCAAAAGACAACCACTTGTTAGGCATGTTATAGTGAGGATTCCTTTCTTATAGGGGTTGTAATACATGGCCACTGAGGTCCCTTCTAACTCTCAATTTCTGTAATTCTGTGAAACTAGAGACCATCTTAGAGGAAGATCAGTTGAAAAAATGGACTTATTTAACCCTAAGAAGAAAAGTCTGGATGGATATGATAGCTTTCTTTTAAGTTGGAAAAGAAATTAGTGCTGCTTTGTTATAAGTGACAGTTTTATTGGGAGGGGGGAGTATTGGGAAATGATATCTGTATTTTTAAAGCATTAAAAAGAACGTGGGATTACGTAAATTCTACAAAGCTACTAAAGGCTACCACTAGAACCAAATGATGTAAGTTACAAACAGGTATATTTTGACTCAAATAAGGAAGAAAATTTCTTAACAATTAGAGTTGTCTAACAAGAAAGGCTCCATGTACCCCAAAATATTTATAACAATACTTTGTCATAACAAAGAAACAAAGTATATGGCTATTGACAGGGAATGGCAAAAACAAGTTATGGTACATGAATGTAATGGAGTATTACTGTTCTATAAGAAGCAACAAATACGATAAATACGTAGACGATGAATACATAGACATAGATAGAAAGATTTACATGAACTCTTGAAAAGGGAAGTAAACAGCACCAAGAAATCAATATATACAATGACTTCAACAATGTAAATGGAAAGAACAACTATGAATCAATAGAAAATGAAGTTTGCAAAATTGCAAACTTACATTCCCAACTCCTTTATAGAAGTAGGAAGTACAGCAGTGTGGAACATAGCATATAATGTCAGGGTTTTTTATGTATTAATTGGTTTTGCTGTTTTCTTCATTTTCTTGTTTGATCTTAAAAAATGTCTTTGTTATAAGTTATGGCTCTTTGGTAAAAAAAAATTTTTTTAATTAATAAAAATCTAATAAAAAAATAATTACCCAAAATGGAAAGAGCTAAGGTAATGTGGTGA